TGGCACTTTAGAGGTGACAGGTTCTCTTTAAGGTGTCATGACCCCTAGTGACACCTTTCCACTTCACTGGATTCAGCTGTTGAGGCAGCTGAATGTCAAAACAACAGGCAGTGGCTTGAAGCAATAGCTAGCCTGATATTGGTTATTTTAAATTGCAGTAGCCAATAGCAGGCTGGCTATTGCACCCACCCACTGCCTGCTGTCAATCAGCAGAGAAGGGAATTGACGGAGAAAGTTATCCATCAGATTGACAGCAGGTAGTGAGCGGGTGCAATAGCCAGCCTGCTATTGCATTTTAAACTATCCAATAGCAGGCTGGCTATTGCTCTCAGCCTCTAGATACAGAGAAAGCATGGGGGCAGGGGGGGGGGGGCAGAGAATGCCCAATGCATTGTGGTTCTGACGTCAGAATGTGTTATTTATTTAATACCCTCTTCTTTTATCCTAGAACTAGGGATAAGCAAATCTGTGTCCTGCCTCTTGTTTGCTCTGCAGGGAGTTTGTTGCACCCATCCTAAAGTCCAAAGATGAGGGGGTACATTTTTCAATTTAATCCTGCCAATTTTAAAGCTAATATGAAGGGGTTGCTTGACAAAGGGTATGGGGAGCTGAGCACTGGCATAGGGGATATATAACAATGTAATACAAAAAAAATTGAAAACACTGTACAGCAGATGAGGGCCTACTAAATATGCAACTTCGAGGGCGACATTGGAAAAAACACCAATTCTTTCAATTGCATGCTTCGGAGCAGGGCTGGTGCTGCAACTAGGCAAACTAGGCAGCCGGTATGGGCACGCTGCTGCCTGGGGTGCAGCTTTAACCACTCCCCCCTTCCCCCCACGATGCCCTCTCGTCTATTTCAAATTGCAAAAGCCAATGGCAAGCTGGCTATTGCACCCACCTAATGAGCAGAGTAGCAGAACAGAGAGATAACTTTTTCTCTCAGGTCCGCGCCTCTGCTCAGTGGGTGGGGTTTCAATAGCCAGTCTGCTATTGGCTATTTCAAATTAAAATAGCCAATAGCAGTCTGGCTATTGCTCCCGGCTGCTAACATTCAACTGCCGCCTGCAGAAGCTAACTGGCAGGAAAATGGAGTTGCGTGGGGGGAGAGATTGGGGATTGCGCTGCGGGAGGGGGGCCGGGGGGTGCAAGTAGCTGGTCTTGCCTAGGGAGCACGATAGTCTAGCACCAGCCCTGCTTAGGAGATTCCTTTAAACTGTAAATAGTGTTACAGAATACTACAATTGTCATGAAAAGCGTCAGCAACACTCTATTCTGGCATCACATATTTAGCATGTTTAATAGATTTTCTACTTTTACATTATTGCTTGGTACAGCAGCATTCCAAAATTATTATCCTGAACTTGAAGGTAGTTCTGAATTCTGAACTTTAAGGTAATTTTGGCTGCAACACCTATTTTTTATCTGGCAGCTAGAGGCCTGGAGTGGTGGAAGTAGCAGCACAACAGATCTAAAAGCTATAGGAAAATTTACTCTTAAAAAACTAAAGCCCTCAACTTTGTACAAATTGGTAAGTGGCACAAGAGTGTCATAGTAAAGTTTGGAGCATTTTTTTTTTGCAGTACCACACTGCATTGTCTTAAATGCAGTGGTGTAACTACCGCCATAGCGACCCACGCTGTCGCTACGAGGCCCAGCAGCAGAGGTGGAGAAGGCCGGGGTTCAGCAGCGCCGGTCTGGCGGCGGAGGTGGAAAAGACCAGGGCCCAGCAGCAGGCAACTCAGAGCTGACAGGTAAGGGGAGCGCAGATGTGCAGGGAAAGGGACCCCGACCAGCCCACCTGAGACCCTGCAGAGCCCACCATAGAAAGTCTCAGGTGGGTTCTGCAGGGTCACTCTCAGGTGGGCTGTGTGGGGTCTCAGGTGGGCTATGCAGGGTCTCTGGTATGTGCGGGGTCTCAAGTGGGCTCTGCAGGATCTCAGGTGGGCTGTGTGGGATCTCAGCTGGGCTCTGCAGGGTCACTCTCAGGTGGGCTGTGTGGGGTTTCAGGTGGGCATTGCAGGGTCTCTGGCGGGCTGTGCGGAGTCTATGGTGGGCTGTGCGGGGGCCTCAGCTGGGCACTAAGAGTACTATGGTGGGCTCCTTAGGGTCTCTGGTGGGCTGTGCGGGGTCTATGGAGGGTTCTGCAGCAGTGCGCGGCAGAGTGATCTCTTCTTCGGCTCTGACGTCAGAGCATGGGAATGTGTTCTGGAGGTAAGTTTGGTTCTTTTTTTTTAATTTGGGGGGCAGTTAGGGGTGGCCCCATACCAAATTTTGCTATGGGGCCCTGTGATTTCTAGTTATGCCCCTTCTTAAACTTTTAATAAAATGTCAAAGCAGACTGCACAAAACACTTCAAAACCACAACTGCACATTCCTTGACCCCCTACCATCTCGGTGTCCCCAATTATTCCCAATAAAATTCAAGCTATAGACTTCAGACATGTGATTGGTAGAAATTGGCTAGTGTCAGAAAAGTATGTGAGCACTTGAATAGAAAGCTAATTGAAAGAACTCTGCACTGTGGACCTTTTGTAACATATCTGCTGCTGTCAGCAACTTTGTAGTCTGCAGCCTCAGACTGCAGCATATAAGCAATGGAAAAGTACCAACTATTTGGATACCACACGTATGAGAAAACATATGACTATGCACTAAAGAAGTAGCAAAAGCCATGCAGTCTTCCTCCTCAAAGGCACATAGCAGCCACTTTAGAATACTGCTAATGTGCCCTTTTCCTCCTTCTCATCAAGATTGCATAGCAGACATTTTTGTTGGGCCTATCAGAAAGTTCATTGGCCCTGTTTCTCCTGCTCTTCCTGAAGGGTGAATAGCAGCCATTTTTTAGGGGCCTGCTAATTCACCCTCTTCCTCTTTAAGGGTGCTTAGCAGCCATAATGGCAGCCATTTCCTTCTTGGGAGTTGGCAAAGCAATGCACTCTTAATGCATCCTTTCCCCCTCCTATTCTTCAAGGGTGCATAGCAGGCATTTATTTTCGGTCTCCTAAAAGGGGAGTGATGAGGAGTCCATAGTGCTGCTATGGGAGTTGGAAAATACAAATTCCCCAAATCACCTCCATGCCCCGCATCTTCATATCAGCATTTGCCAAACACTCCATGAGTTTCTGGCCTATACTACACAACAGTATCAGGTGCTAACCAACTATTATTTTACACAGAAGGCCATACACCAGCTGCCATGTGGAATGCCAAGAGGCAGAGGGAGGTAGAGGTGGAATATGAGAAGGAGGAGGAAGGTTGAGGTGCTGGTGATGAGGAGGAGAAGAAGGGTTGGGGTGCTGACGTTGTGAAGGAGGAGGGTTGTGGTGTTGGTGGTAAGAAGAGGCCGGCTGGGATACTGGTGGTGAGGAGGAGGAAATTGGTAGGAGACATTTTACCCCTCCCTGATATAAGGGGGAAATCTCATGGGATTTACTGCCAACAATTCAAGAAGGAACCAATAATGCTCCACTCTAGGGAGGCATTGCACAGAAACTCTTTGATGCATTTCCTGATGGTGGCTGGATCCTCCATGCTGGAGGCATAGCTTTAGGGGGAAAATCTACAGCCATAGAATGGCCGTGCTCCATCAACATAGGGAAAAGAGCAGACAACAGCAATTGGCGGGAAATTTGCATAATCCTACGGACATAGACTGCCTACTCTTCCTCTTTATTGAAAAAAAGGTCAGTCACGCCTAAAGTGACAGGCAGTGGTCCTGCATGTGGAGGTAGTTGTTATTTTTTTAGGTTCTTTTACCAGTTTGAACAGATTAACTTTTTTATAATTTTTATATCTTTTTTGTGAAGGCTGCCTACCCTTCCCCAAATCTTTTTTTTTTTTAGTTTGTACATATAAGAGAGGCAATGTGGAGAGGCTCTGGGGAGCTAAATTTTTTTCACCCCATGAATGAATGGTTCAGGAGGTATTTCTCCCAGGTGCAGAGCAGCCACTAGCCTGCAAGTGCTGTTAATGCACTCCTCCCCCGCTCTTCCTTTTCCTCCAGGGCACATAGCAGCCATATTTTGAATTGTACTGCTAATGCTTCCTTTTTTGCTATAGCCACACCATAGTGGTAGGTACCAAGCTGCTTGTTAGCCTCCTATGTAATACCAATAAAGTTAAGTGTAAAAAAAAAAAAGTAACATGTAAAAAAAAAAAACACAATCTTTTTTAAAATCCCCTGCTCCCATGTACACGCACATGCGCCTGGTGTGCCTACCTGCGAAAAAGATTGCGCCACACAGCAAGAATATGTTCTGGCCTTAATGTATTTATTTGCAATGTTCCATAACATAGGGAAAACAGTTATTTTTCAAAATTTTCAGTACTTTTTTCTTTGTACCAAAAAATGATATAAAATTAATGTACAGTGTTGCATGACTGAATAAATGTCAAAGTATCGCAGCTCTGAATACTGAAA